AAATGTAGGAAATAAAAATTACACCCACCTTATCCTGTTGTTTTTCAGCATACCTTGCACTGAATATCCACACACACACCCTGTGCTCACAGCCTGATTTAAAGCCTCCTTGGCCAAACATCTCTCTCCAGCCCTAACCTTTCTCACTCCACATCACCTGCTTTCTTCTCTCCCAGCCCTCACCAAGGACCCATCCCTCACTGTTTGCCATCAGGCTTCATCATGCATCCCTGTGTCTTTAGGGTGTCCTCTTTTTCCTCTGTTCCACTAGCTTCAAGGTCATTCACTGCTCATAAGGGAACCCGGCTTTTTTCTTCACTCCCCAGACACCAGACATCTCTGGACCCCTCTGTCTATCTTCCTTCATGGTTCTCTCTTTCAATTTGCAAAACCTTCAGTCTATCAAGTTTTAAGCAGCAATATTTCAAGGGAATGGACAGGAAATTCCCATGCCCATAATTAAATTTCACATGTAGAGTTGTGCGTGCCTCAGCGTCCTCACTGACAAATACTTCTCATAATGAGCCACAGCTACTACAAATCAAGTAACTCAAAAACTGAAACGATTGCAAAGAAAAGAACGTGACTCAAATACGTAGGACCTTTCTTTTAACACAGAAAGCTTTTCATTGTTAAAAATACTCTTGAATACAGCGTTCAAAACCTGAACAAACTGATTAACCAGGGACCAAGTCAGTAAAGGAGCAGCAGTGCTCTGTGTTATCATGTGAGGGGCCACAGATCAGGGATGACAGAAGCTGATGATATATGGCCACATCACTGCTACAATGCCACAGGTCTCTGTGGAACAATCCTGGCTCCACTGCCCTTACTTGGCAGCTGCACTAAAACCTCTGCAAACGGGAATTACTCCAGAAGGCTTTCCGCTCCCCTTCTGTTGAAAAAAATCATTTGGGGAATACATATAGCCACCAGCCACACTGCTGCACTGGAGGGATCTCTTGTGCACAACCTCTCTCTGTGCATTCCATCCCCTTCCATAGTGCATAAGAGCCTCTATACACAGAATGGTACAGATATCACTTTGCCACAGGAAAGCATTTCTAGTGGGTGATTTAGGAAGCAGTCAGTTTGCTTCTGCCAGCAAAAGCAGTACATCTCCCTGTGCCTCTCTTTAAGAAAAGGAAAGGTCACAATGATCAGCTAAAGTGCTGGAAGCAAAAGGGCAGAATATTACTCAAAACAACAAAGGTCTTCATTTTAAATTACTCTGAGTAATACTTGGTGTTTGAACTCTTTGTGCAAAGAGACAAGAGAAGGAGGGAGTAAGTGCCAAAGCCACTTATGTGCCACACCATCTGTATGTGCCATGAATTCCAACACACTGAGCTGAACAGGAACAATCTTGTTTAAAAAAAAAAAAAGTCACAAAAGTTTCTGATTTCAAATTCTGAAAATCTGCTTTATTCCCTTCTGCCTGGGTTTTGAATAGATGGGATTTCAGGTGAGTCTTAGGCTCTCCAGTGTCACAGAGGATCATTGTGGAACCAGCTGGGTTTGCTCTCTTTACAGAGTGACGTGTTTGAGTTCAAATCTCTGTCCAGTCTCTGTACTACCAAGTTAAAGCTTTAACTAAGCCGCAGTAGGAATACAGTCTCCACTCCTTCAGGTTCTCAAAGTTGTCACCCTAAACAGGGATTAAACTGTCAGTTTCTGAGGCGTAGCCAGTATCCCTGTTCATTGCAGGGCAGCTGGACTAGATGATCCTTAAGAGTCCCCTCCAACTCAAATGGCTCTATGATTTAAGTGGGCATTTATGACGTTCCTACTAGCAGGAGGCAATATGTGAAAAAGCAATCTGCAGCACTAGGCATACAGACAAGGAATGGAGAAGGGCTGTAAACCAAACCCTGCTCTGTTGTTCTGTTACTCAAAGAGCTTCATCAAATTATTACCATTATTTATACAGTCATAAAATTTAGAGGTCTTGATCAGGTTTCTGTTTCCATGGTGCCAGGTTTTGTCCACACTCAGAATGAAAACATTTAGGAGAATTTAACAGAATTCATAACAAATTATTTTCAGGCATGTATTTAACATGAGAAAGAAATGAAACAAACCAGGAGCATCACTGCCTTTGAGTAAACACCTCAGACTGCCTCACATACCTTCCTCCAAGAGGACAGTGCAGGATGGACAGCCAACCTACTGTGGCAGTCTTCTGCACACTTAGGTTTCATGTGTGCCAACGCTTTTCTTAAACAAAATCTCAGAGCCAAAGATACAACTATTGATGATTATGAACCAGCAGCTTGTCATGCTTAGATTCTTCATGAAATATAAGCAAGAGGATATATCTTTAAAAAAAAAAAAAAAAAGGCAAATATCACAAGCACAGTTAATGCCTTCTTTGGGCATCAGGGGAAAAAAAAAAAACAACAGTGCTCACATTTTTTTTTCTTTTCCAGATTATTTTAAATGATTATTTTTCACTTAGGGGGTATATCTTTAGCTACAAACAGCACTGAGTTAGTAGACTGTTAGAAGAATCATAGAATCATCCAGGTTGGAAAAGATCACTAAGATCATCTAGTGCAGCCACCCACCGACCACCAATACTGCATCATCTCCAGGGATGGTGACTTGGTGACTCCACCGCTTCCCTGGGCTGCCTGTTCTGATGCCTCATGGTTCTTTCCGAGAAGAAATTCTTCTTAATAACCAATCTGAATTTCCCCTTATTGTTACAAAACTGTACTTGGTGTTATCTCAATGTTGGAATATGAAGAAAATGTGAGGAAAAGCATGGGGAAAATATTTCACAACATGAGAGAGCAGGTCAGACAGAGAACTCCCTGGCCTGCCTTGCACCTTCTGGCAAGCGTAGCTCTCCCATGGCATCCTGAGAGGTCCTGCATCTTCACACAGTCTGACATATCCTCTGGCCAGCTCAGGGCTTTACTGACACACCATCAATGAAGGGTGAAGCACAAGTGAGGTCACTGAGACTGCTATTAAGAAAGAGGAATAACAAGCCAAAGAACTGCATTCTCATTATCTGTCCCTATGACAGCCTTGGCCCAGCAGCAGCACAAAGCAATTGCATGGCATGAGTTTCCCTGGCTCCTGCAGAAGGTGAAAGGCTAGATTAAATTTAAACAAACAAACAAGAAAAACCAAACGCAACACTAAGTACATACAGGTCTAGATTCCATCATGTAGATTCCACCCTGAAAAGACTTCAGGATCATTGAGTCCAACCGTCAATCTGCTCTACTAGTCCCATCATCCAACTATGTACCTTCATGTCACACTTCTGGCAAACATACAACAAAGGCACAGCAGCCACTCTGGCTTCCAGGGCTGTTACTTTCAACTAGTTGTCTGGCACTAATCTTTAAAAACTTCCAATTTGGAACATTTATTGATTGAAATTGTATTAGAAAACTTGTGTCTATTAAAATGTAGAAGCCTGCAAGTAGAATTAACTGCTCCTACAGCCACATGTACCAGTCATGTCTATCTCAGTGTTGGGCAGGTATGAAAACCTCCATCAGCTGGTGTAAGAAGAGAATAAGGAAGTGACTAAGATCACAGATTGCTCTACTAACACAGACTTTACTGCATTGTGAGGAATAAAATATGAGCAATAGGCCCCAAAAATGGCTGAGATGCTATGTCAGGAGATACAATTTGCAGATGATGGATGTGCAGGAGAATGCAGCAGATGAGATGAAACTTTGTTTTGAATCATAATGCAGTCTCTATATTCTCAGCCTTTTTTGCATTCTGTCTGTCTAAGGGAATAACCCAATTCCTTATACAGCTTTTCAAACTGTGAGTTCCCATTGCAGGGACCTTCCCATCATCAGTTTATGAACATAACCTCATTTCTCTAGAATACGTCTGGAAAGCAGCTAAGTAAACAATCAAAAATGTAACACATTTCTGCCTGAAAATACACCACAGTCAGTGATTGCACACGAAAATTCTTATGTGCTGCAAATATTCCTCCACTTGCTGCAGCAGTTGTACCCCCCTGTTATTGCACCACTCTGCCATTGGAGCATTATTGGCAGTGGCAGCGTGCACTGGAGTTTTATTCCCTGTCTCTAGGCCAGTCCTTTAATCTTTTTTTTCTTTCCTCTCTGAAGGTTATTTATGCAAGTGTGACAAGCAGTTACAGTAAAGTTCCCTGCAATGAAAGGAGTGCAGGGCAGCAGTAGATTCCATTCCAAAATCATTTTGAATTCTAAAGGCTCCATTTAAGGGATAATGATGGGAGCAAAGGGCATTTCTTCAGGATTAATCACTGGCTGGGTGAGATGATAGCCCAAGGCAAAGCCACGGGCCATTAACCCCTGCGGGTCACCTTATCCCTACAGGAAATGCGCTGGGTCAAGTTCACTGTTGCTATTATAAAATCTTATTGGAGAAAGAGGTTACACTTCTCTGTTTATATATGTCCTCCATTCCCATGTTTGTAATGATAGCGGATAGCTTTTGGCAATGCCTCTATATTGTACCACGGAGAGATGTAAGAACAAGTTCTATTGTTATATTTGATGCTAAAGATACAAGTGGATTTTTTAATGTTTACAGGGAAGCATTTAAGGTTCTCAGTAAAAGAATGTAAATGAAACAACAGAGAAACACCACGTGAAAGAGACCCAATGAAATAACATTAGGAAGGGAGACCTCACCTTAAACAGTGTAAAACATCATATTTCCCCTAAAGCAAAAGGAGCAGCACAAACCATCTGAAGAACTCATCCAGAAGTTTTGTTTGAAACACTGAAGGAGAAGCTGTAGGCTTGCATCAGATACCATTACACATGGCACATGGCATAAAATAGCAGTTTGACAATATTGCCAAGTGGGATTTATGTGCTCACAGAAACAGCATTTAAAAGCTATGCACAAACTCTCAATGATTTAAATAAGCCTCAATCTCACAAACTTTAGTTGGACCCTGTTGTTTCCAACCAGGACACTGGGTTACAGTTTTCCAAGCAGCCCACTGCAAAGGGAGAGGTTACCTGTGCAGCTGTGTGCTCACTGCAGATCCTTTGTACGCCAACACCAACCTCAGCCTCAGAAATGAAGCCAGGATCCAGAACGGAAGAGCCTCAGGATATTCAAATCTGAAGCTACATCTGAACATAAAAGAGAAAAGAGTGACTCTCGGATCAAAGCAGGCCTCGTGCCTCCTGAGCCTCTCTTGAAATGTAAAAAAAAGATCTCAACTTTTGTTAAATAGAAAACAGTCCTTAGCACTCTGCTAGAGAAGCACCCAGCTCTTATTCCTAGCACAACTGCTACCTTTATCTCCTGTGCTTGTAACCAAGGCAAAATGCACTAGCAGCTTCGTAGCAGCCAGCGTGTCACACTGCCCATAGAAACAGAAATGTCACTGCAGTACAGAATAGTGGAGCTTTCCCCAGTAATATACCTTAGTCTCAGAGATTCTCTTGCTGTCCCTTGGGGAAAGGAGCTGAATCCAGCACAGCTGCTAATTACAGGCTGCAGATCCCACTTGAACCAAGGAACATAGTGAGGTGCTTCTCTTCTGCATGGAGCCCAAGGTCCCTCGCCCCCCCATTGCTGGCACCCTCACTTATGAGCAGAGGGGCTCCCTGACCATCACCACGTGGGCTGGTATCCTGCTCTGGGGCGCTCGCCTCTCCTCTGCATTCTGAGCCTAACCAGCTAGCAAGCCATTCTGATTTCCCTACAGAGTGTTAAAGTTGCGAAGGAAAACAGACTTCCATCATTTCCTTAGTTTCAGAATGCCAGACTTTGCAGTTTTAATGTTCTTTTAATGAAGTTTTTAGGTGTAATACAAACATACGATCACTTTAAGCATATGGCAATAAACTGCAAAGTAAATATAATTACAGTAGCTCTCACCAAATGTAAAGCTTTACGTTTTGCTGTTAATTGACTGAAAGGATTTCCAAATGCAGAAAAGAAAACTTTGGCATCAATTTTTAATAAAATACAGCAATAAGAACTAATATCTTGAGGGATGAAATAGCAGATTTTAGATCTTAATATATGATGATGAAGAAGTGTGTAACTGCTGATGCCAGCTACACTCTAACTAAATTCTAAGCTAACATTAAAATAACAAAAAAGGTCTGGGTTAAGACAAAAAGAAAAGCCATTATCTTCATTCCTTTTTTTAATAATCATTGTGAAGGAAGACCCATTGCATAGAATCGAGTTGGAAAGGACCCAAAGATCATCTAGTTTCAACCTCCCTGCCTATGGCAGGGTAGCCAACCACTAAAGCAGGCTGCCCAGAGCCACAACCAGCCTGGGATAATACATAAACAAAAAAGAACATTTCCTCACAGTGCTGACCCCTGTGAGGATGGGGGCTGCTGGAAGCCAACCCTTCAATAGAAAACCCAACATTTCTCATGGCAGAGAGCCCTACAGGATGGACAGGAAGAGCAAGCTGCCTGCTGCCTGCACATGCAGTCCCTATATGCTGTGACATAAATCACCATGCTTACAAGATGAAAAAGAGGCTGAAAAAAACATCCCCTTTAGTGCTAATAGTCATAAAATTTAATAGAAAACTATGAAAGTAGATCACGTTTTGTTGTATGTTTGGATGGCCAACACTTGGAATGTTCACGCCAATTACTCCCATGAATTTTGTGCCTATATCTGTAAATACTGCTGATTACTAACTCATACATTATATATATTATTATGAATGCAAAAAAAATCTGTAACTTCTTTTTTTTTTAATAGTTAACATCAATTGCCACATTTGGTGTCACAGCTGGAAAGATTATCACAGTGATAATAGGAAAAGAAACAAACAGGGAAGGAGTGCTCACCTAGATCCAGAGACGTGGGTTCACAGGAAAGACTCCAGAGAGGAAGGATCTTGAGAAAGAAATCCTTCCTGAGTAACAGTCAACCCTTAAATGGGGTCTAGGAGAGGTGCAGCCAGGCTCCCTCCTTCCAATCACAAGCTGAATCAGCTTCACCTGTGCTCCCAGGGCTGACTCAGTGCTTGCCTCAGGTGATCAATCAGTGGTTCAGGCCATGAATCAACAGTTCCCATACGTTAATTTTTACAAAAAAAAGACTACCCTGGCCGGTTTTCTTCCACATCTGTGCTGAGAGAAACACTGTGCCTTTGAAGTTCGAGCCAGGTTTTATCTCACGATTTTTTTTGTTCAGAATAGACAGCAAGAAAGAACGATTCATCTTGCTTCTCTGCATTTTTAAGGAATGAAATGGGCTGCCCTATTGTGCAAAGCTGAATAGTTTGGTCCTTCTGTGCTTTGTCGAGGTACTGCTGCAGCAAGTGGAATTCAGATCTCCACACAAACCGCCATCTAATGCTGCAGTGCTACAGCCCAGCCCCTGTGGCTGGAAACCTCCAGGTCAGCGTGTTTAACCTAGGCTGTAATTCTTTCAGGAATGAAATCGGAAGTTATGACAGTCTGAATCTCTGCCCCCTTGCCCCAGTTTTTTGCCCATCTAATGGTGTTGGACTACATAAACTGCACCACACCAGGAATGGGGAATTGGGACCAAGTTGATTTTTGGGTGCCTCTGTTTTGTGTTGTATTTGTTCAGCATGCAAGCCTTGGCCACATTCAGAACACTAGTTTTGTAATACCCATCATCTTCTCAGATTTACTGGTTTACTATTTTAACCTGCAAATAATACAATAAGAAATGTCATACATGTATTATATTATATATATTCAAGCATAGAAGAAGAAACTCTGTGAAGAATAGGCATCACCAGTTATAGTATATATATATATAATAACATTGTAGACTTGAACAAGGAAGAATTTTCTCTCCTCCCTTTTTGGGTCTTCTAAAATCCTCACTATAACTGTGGGATCCCACCTTCCTCTTGTGGACATGGGTACAACCTGGTGATGGGCAGTGGAAGTCAGGTCAGATTAAAGCAGCCCTGAATCTGGCAATGAGAAATGGTTTCCTTTCATACTGCAGACAATAGCTTAGACACAAATCTGTAGCTAAGCATTTACATAAAATGCCGAAGAAAAAAATCCCCTTAAATGAAATGTTGCTTGTTACCTTAGTGTGTTGTCAAATTATGTCAAACTAAAATAGCCCCAAATGTATTTGTTTGACAAACATTTTCTGCCTTTCATTTGTGGCATCTTGTCCACAAATACGTAGCATATTTATTCTGTTCAGATAAATAGCATGAGAGATCTGACTCACACTAATACAGCCAATGCCAATGGAATCCTGCTGCTATTACATGGTTCTTCAAGGTGATCGGTAGTTTTGCTTTTAAAATGATGGAGAAAAATTCAGCAGTGACACAGAATCACAATTACAATAGGGGCTTTGAAAATTGTTTCTTAAATCAACATACCGTTTAATGTATACAGCATACCTACCTTACCTAAAGTAATGACATACAAATATTATATATCGTCCAACAATGTGAGAAAATGTCACTACATTCATTTAAAATGACTGTTTGTGATAATGTGCTTTACCATATTTTGCTCAGGGCAACATATTTCCACGCTTTATGAAATTATTAATTCTCATTAAATTTTAATGTTCCTGCCTGAAAAGAGCGGAGCTAATTAACTGCCCCATTAAAATTATTACTTAGCCGTGATGAGTCCTGTAAATGTTTCTACTTTGTTAGGCCAGTAGAAGCTTTCTGAACCAAAGCACCTACCAGCAGCGCTGCACGTGCACATAGCGTGATGTAGGCTGGTCTAAGAAGTGACAGGAATTAAGGCAGAAACAAGAGATCCAGTTTAGCACTCTTTCTCTTGTGCGATTCTCCTACAAGAGGAATTATCAAAGAAGTTATGTCCTCACGTTCAAGACATGAGTGAAACATCAAACTGCATGGCACTACAAAGACATTTCCCCATTGGCAACTTATTCCATAAGAGTAAAATTAACCAGATCCTAACAGGTCCCAGGAAGTCGTTGAGACCAAGTGTTACAGCCTGATATAATTATTTTCCTTCTTTCACAAAGAAAAAGATGAAGCTCACACTGGTACAGAGTTGCTGCACAGCCCACAGCAGATGCAGAGTAGGCATCCAGCTGGGGCCATCATCAGTACAGCAGCTGTCCCCGAGCTCCTTCCCTGCTGCAAGGACCTTGTGGGCAGGTTTCCTCCAGGTTAACCAGGTGTATTGGCAGAGTATTCCATCAAAACCATGCGCGTTTGGTCGTGTGATCCTTCACAGCAGGTAAAGTACCAAGAATCCATAGCAGGATTGGATCAGCTTTTGGCAGCCTCTGTGGGATTTAGGAGACCAGCACTCAAAGTCCTGTTTTGACCCACCTTTCCAATATGGCCTTAGATACGGTTCCCAGATGGTAACATATTTAAATATATCATTTGCAGTTAAGCACGCATCATTTAAATAGAAATGAACTATTTAAGTATAAGTATCTTTGGAGATTTGCATTGCAGTGACTCTGTACCACTGTTGTCATCCATGAAGCTGAAATACCAGCACGTGCTACCTGGCCAGATGGCAGTGCAGAGAGAACCCATGATGGCTGCCCACACACTGTGCTTACTGGGGTCTCACACACGTACCCCAACATGTGCATGTAGGATTTCACCCCGCTAACAAAAAGTTTGCATGTGGGCCTCACGGGTTCAGTGTAAACTGATAGTTTTTGAAAGCCACATCTCAGTATCTCAATAACCAAAAATGGTGTATGCTTGGAGGTATCCTGCCTGTGGAATATCTTGTGTTTGCAACTGAGCAGTGCTGAACGTATGTGGTTTTAAGGTTTTAAATCACACACGTAGAAATCTCTGGTGATATGCATGCATGCCCATCTGCCAAAGAAACGGAGCAGAGCTGATTGCTGCTCTTCAACTCAGAGCAAGAGCTACTGCAGGCAAGCATCAAACATTCTAATCAGATGATAATTCAAATATAGATATTAATTAAAGAAATTTAAAAATGTATGACTCTTGTGGGCTGAGATCAGAGTTATTATATTATTTACATTCCCTGAGTAAATTATTTTTAAAATGATTTGCTCCTCTTCATTATTAGAACATTTTTCAAAGCCTTTATGTTTTTTCACAGTTTTGATTTTTACATAAAGGTTGGGGCTTTTCACAAAAAAAGAATTTCTGCTTAACAGTGCTCTGCAGATAGGAAACATTACTTTTTTTAAAACAGTCACCTCCTATTACTCCCAAAGAAACACCTCAGCTTGGGCAGGATTCTGCCACAGCGTTTTTGGTACAGAATAGAACAGAATAGAATATCCCAAGCTGGAAGAGATCCCAAGGATTAAGAGCAACTCCTGGCTTCACACAGGAATCAATTGCTCATTTATGTTGGAAATGATTGAAATTAAATTTGCAGCCTAAATTGGCAAATATACACTGTACATCTACGGTGTCACTTACTTAAGTATTTAGCATTGCCAGAGAGTTTTGAATGTTTATCTGTAATAAACTATAGTCTCAAATACTGGCTGCTGTGGAAATGCCAACACATTTTCTTTTACCATGTCACCACTTTCAGCTGCAGCTAATAACTGGAGATCAATTATTAAAATTAAGCAGTCATTCCAGCCCCATAGAAAAGCTTTGCCAAATGTTTGCAATGGCAATGTTCAATAGCATGTGCTTCCTTCCAATACCTCACCCCAGCACTTTCCTTGAGTCTCCATGCACGCTGCATCCCTCTGGAAAAGCAGCTGACTTCTTTGTATGAGATGGATCCATATGTGAGTGGTCCAGTGCACATCACTAAGCGATGTGCAGGAGGGAAAGTCCACAGTGAGATCCACAATGCTATTTTAGACTGCAAGGTGACTCAAAGGGAAGAAGTGTCTCAAAGTGAGGACACACAAATGACTTGATTTGATTGAAGCAGCAGATGACAGTTAAAACACATTCAGTTGCACCAAGATAGATGCTTCTGTTTAGGCAACCACCAGGTACTGTCCCAAACTCTGCTGCTTCCTGGTGGAACATCCTTCCAAGTGGAGCATCCTCTCTGGTAGAATGTCCTTCCAAGTGGAGTATGCTTCCCAATGCAGCATCCTTCCTGGTGGAACATCCTTACTGGTGGAGTATCCTTTCTGATGGAGTGTCCTTCCTGACAGGGACTGGGCTGCATGATCCCAGACACAGCATCTCCACCACTGGTGTACTCCCCAGAGAGCCACACCACTTGCAGAGCACTTCCATTATACTCACCAACACATTAATGCTAGGAATATTTGAAAACATTTGCAACCAATTTTATAGTTAGTTAAAACCAGATTTTCTCTATTCAGTCTCTTCTGTGACTTTTCCATCTTTTTTTGTTTTGAAGTTTAGGGATTTTTTTTTCTGAGTGAGCTGCATGCAAGCTTTAGCTGTAAACAGGTTAATTGCAGCTCTGATCTTCCTCCAGTGTCTGACCATACAGACAAGCAATTCACAAAGCCCAGGAATCAGCGTGGATCACTACATTTCCCAATGAGACCAGACAGTTGGTGCTGCCAGCAGAGAAGCCCTGTATGCCAAACCATACAGCTAGTTCATAGTATGGCAACAATTGCTCAGAAATTTCCATATCAAGTGTTTTAGGAAAAGATTCAAATAGCCCATCAGCCAGTCTGGCGGAGTAGATGATGCATTTACAATCGCCATATATTTCAAATTGCTCTTCACTCCCATGTGGTCACACATTACAAATCCAAATGTTACGTAAACTAGATATACCACAGGGTCTGAAGCTAAAGTTCTGTTCAGAACAAATGTAGAAAAATGTTACGACACAAAATCATCATTCATTTCTTTATCAAGACAAAAAATTATTATCCCTTCATTTCTTCAGGAACCACTATTTCTAGCGGGAAGGAGAATAAAGCTGGCGTAGGAAAGCAAAATCTCTTTAACTTGAGTTTCAAGACAGGTTTCTCCTCACCTCAAAGCACAGTCTTCCCAATGACATCCATTCTGCAGGCTCCCAAGCAGCATCTGCTGCGGCCCTTCCCCCAGGCATGCAAACACCGAGATCTCAGTTAAAATTAAGCTCCTGTTCACTGGGGACCAATTATTGATTTTCTTCCTTCCTTTACGCTATGAATAAAACAGATGGGATTTCAAAAACATTTGGAAAAAATAAAAAGGTTTTAAAAAAACCCAACCAACAAGATAGCCATGCCTGGCCTCCATTCCTGGTGACTACTGTCATTCTGTTGGGAAATGAGTGGCTGGCATTGCTCAGATAAATTTACAGGAGCTTCAGTGTGCCTTGAAGAGGAACTGGCAGAGGCCCTTGGCGGCCATGCACAC